GTCACACTCCCCTCCTCAGCACCCAGAGACACATGACTCGCTGGCAGGCCTGTGCACTCCATCATTTCTAAAAGCCAGGAGTCCTGCCTGAGGCAGATGAGAGGCGGCCAGAAGCATGTCGCTGGCCTTCTAGCTCAGCCACTGCGTGCCTCTCCGTGGCACGCTGCTCCTGAAAGCGCCGTTGTCCCAGGAGTCAGTCCCCAGCTCCTCCAACAGCCAGGCTGCACTGGCCACGGGAAAGAAAATGTGTGTGCGCTCCCCAGACTGGAATCTTTATATTGCTGAGAATGATCACAATTCGCTTAAAAACCATGACATAAAATGCGCTTTTATAGCCAGAGTTCCAATATGACAAGAGGAAAGCCTCAGAAACCAAAAAGTACCTGAAGCTAACACTCCTTTCATGGTGCTAAAGTAACTCTATTACCTGTAACATCAGCAGCCTTGGATAGGACGGGTATGGAGCGAAAAGATCTGAGGTTTGGTTTGGTTTTTCATCCTCACCCGAGGTGACGTTTTAATTGATTTTCAAGAAAGAGAACGAGAGGAACACTGATGTGACAGAGAAACATCAATAGGGTGCCTCCCATAGGCACCCCGACCGGAGATCAAACACAAAACTTTGGTATGTGGCCTGATTGGGAATCGAACCCACAACCTTTTTGGTGTACAGGACAATGATCAACCTACGGAGCCATCTGGCCAGGACAAGACCTGAGTTTCTATAGCGACACACACACACATCCCAGGTAAGAGCAGCACACAGCGAACCAAGGACACACAGGCACTGCCAGCATGCCAGCACTGTTTCCTTTTATGGAGGCAGTGCCACAGATGTGCTGCAGGAGTCTGTGTATATTTTGGATCCTATTAAAAGCTTTTTATAGAATATTTTAACTCAAACCATTTTTGTTTTTAAAAATGTAATTTAAAATCTAATCATTTTAAATGTCGAAGACTCAAGACCCTTTCCTCAAGCTCTGCCTTTATTCATGACGTAAAGCAACGTGTTAAGGAAAAAAGGCCACTGAACAGCAGTGTCTTCCAGGAGGGCGCTCAGTCCCATTCCTAAGCAACCAGAGCGGCCCACTGGCATCCTAGAGTAACCGTAGCACTTCGCCCGCTGGAACTGAAAATGACAGGGAGACACTCTGTAAAGCATATGACTGTCTGACCACTATGCTCTACACTTGAAACCAACACAAAATAATACTGAATGTAAACTGTAATGAAAAATAAAATGTAAAGTCCTTTTCAGAAAACTAAAAAATAACCATAACAAATCTATCAGAATAGTGAACAATTTCATTAGCTTCCTCTCTAAATTCCCAAAAAGATGATCTCCAAAAATTAAATGTTAGAACACAGATCTGCTACTGGGCTTGCAACTCAGAAGTGGTAATTAGCACAAAGCAATTCCATAGGACAGAAAAAATTCTAAAGACAGAAAGTTGATTGTGCAAACAGCTGTGGTATACCGACTTAAAAACAGGCAAACACAAGCAAAGAACACAAACCAAGAACTACAGAAATGCCACACTAAAAATCAAGTTCAAATGTTCTGGCCTATGGGATGCCGGGAAACAGTAGCAGGTGACCGACTACCTTGGGGCCTAGCAATCAGCTTCATGTAGGCCTGTGTATCTGGCTGCCGTGGTATCAAATGTTCTTAAAAAGTTCAAGTAACAGTACTCCTTTCACCGCTGTGAAACTTACACCCACCAGTCACGTGACAGATCCTCGCTCAGTGCTGCTGAGGCTCTGTTTACTTTGACCTCCTCAACAACTACCTTCTCCTTCCTATTTTCCCCGGCTACCAAGCTGGCCTGAGGCTGTTTTTATTTTCCAGTTTCTTATTACTTAGTGTCAGTTTTGTCATAAGTATACATTTGAGACTTAGTGTACATACTCTGGAGATTTTTTTTTTAGTACATGTGCTGCCGAAGCGAGTGCTGAAATGATTCCTTTAAATGCGTATCAGCAAGCCATAATACAACATACCTAATGAAACCTGGAGAACATGAGGCCAGCAGACAAGTAAAGATTAAATTTCAGTAAATGTGAACTTCTGTTAATTAACCCAACAAAATATAAACACGGAACAATGCTTTCAGCATATTACAGAGAACAGGGCGTGACTGCCTAATAGGAACAGGGCCATAATCTTGCGTACAGCAGTTGGGAGCCATGTTGTGCAGTGAACAGTCAAAACCATCTCCTGACGGGAAAGACAGACTCCACATTACCAAAACCAAGCACAGTCAATCCGTGGCCCTAAGCACCGAGCAACTCTGGAGTGGGTGGTAACAGAACTTAACCGCAAAGAAACTGATTTGTAAATAAAACACGACCAGATCCACTACTGGTCATGCTGGTAGTAGTTTTTATTCCACCTTTAAAATGAGCTCAGAGCTCTTAGAATTTGAAGAGGTACAAGGATGTTTGTTCAGAAGAAGAATGGCACGGCTCAGTGGTTGAGCCTCTACCTATGAACCAGGAGGTCAAGGTTCGATTCCCGGTCAGGGCACAGGCCCGAGTTGCGGGCTCAGTCCCCAGTGTGGGGCAAGCAGGGGGTAGCCCATCAGTGATTCTCTCTCATCATTGATGTTTCTATCTCTCTCTCCCTCCCTTCCTCTCTGAAATCAATAAAAATATTTTTTTTAAAAAAAGAAAAGGAAAAATATATGTAAGGAAATAAAAGGTAGCAGCAGCAAGAAGACAGAGTATTCATAAGACAAGAAATAACAGCCTTAAAGGCAAGGTAATACTTGTTGGTCTAACTTGTGTTTCAAGGAGAGAAAACACTTCAAAGCAGTTCTTATGCTGAGATCCACTAACCTGAAGAAGCAATGAACCTGATTCCTAGAGAATTCTATGGCCCCAAAAGAGGTTAAGAATCGTTGTGATGTAGTTCATTTCCATCTATAAACGTATGTGCACTGTAACACCACCTTGTAGTAAACATATGCATAGGACGCCACTGCTTGCAAAAGTGTTTTTAAAAGTGTCCCAAAAGGCATGCAGCTGAACTGAAAGACAAGCATGCCTAGATACGAAAGGTCACGTCACCTAAGAGCCCATTTACACGGACTACCCAGGACAGGTAAAGCCACAGAAAAAGCAAGCACTGTTGGTTACCAGGAAGGAGGGCGGAAGGGGATATGAAGTAACTGCTTAACCAGTACAGGGCTTCCTTTTGGGGTGATGAAAGTATTTCAGAACCAGATAAAGGTGGTGGCTGTACAACACTGTGAATGCACTAAATGCCACTGAATTGTTCACATTCAAAATGGTGAATTTTGCTATGTGAATATGACCTCAATTTAAAAAATTAATAATAAATAAAACTCTTTTGCCCTAGCCGGTTTGGCTCAAGTGGATAAAGTGTCGACCTACGGACTGAAGGGTCCTGGGTTGATTCTAGTCAAGGGCACATGCCTGGGTTGTGGGCTTGATCCCCAGTGTGGGGCGTGCAGGAGGCAGCCAATCCATGATTCTCTCTCATCATTGATGTTTCTCTCCCTCTCCCTTCCTCTCTGAAATCAATAAAAATATGTTAAAAAAATAATTTTATTAAAAAAACTTCTTAAAATAAATAAATAAAACCCTTTTGTATTTCCTTATTAAAAAAAAAAAAGACAACCACTCTCTGTGTTGCCCCAACTCGGGGACGGAGCAGAAAACCCCAGGATGAACTGGGACCACACAGGTAGAAGCTGAAGGTGCTTCCCTCCTGGTCCTCAGGGCAGGGATGTGGGGCTACGTCACAAGTGCCTGCTAGGTTTGGTGTTCAGAGGGCTCATCTGCAAGACACTCTCTTTGCCAGGGCAAAACTAAAACAAAAAACTCAGATTTTTTTTTTTTTTTGTAAATTTCCTCTTAGGACCTGCAGGTTTCATATAGTTATGGCTTCTGTATTCCTGGGGCTATATTCAGGGGGATAAATGAGAGAAATTAATACTGGGGAAAATATATATATACAGATAAGCCATGTTTGAAGCTTAACTATTGTTCCACAAGATGTTTACCTTTAGTAGGTAGTCAACATTTCCTTTATAAAACTGAGTATCAATGTAAAGCACCCATCCAAATATCCAAAATCAAATTTCTCAAAACAAAACAAAAGAAAAAGTGTGGCTCAGCTGATTGAGCATCTTCCCATATACCAAAAGGGTGCAGGTTCGATTCCTGGTCAGGGCACATACCTTGGTTGTGGGTTCAATCCCCGGTCGAGGTGCATACAGGAGGCAACCGATTAATGTTCCTCTCTCACATCAATGTTTCTCTCTCTCTCACTCTCTAAATCAATAAACATATCCTCAATGAGGATTTAAAAAATAAAGGAAAAAGAAAACATGGAAGAGTCAACTGCTTTTGTGAAATTATATCACAAATAATTAACTTACAACATGTCTACCCTTTAACAGCTCTGAGCCAGTAACTGGGACCAATACCCAGAACTTCCTTAGAAAAGCACTAAAACCACAAAACACGCAAATCATGACTGACCTGTGGAATCAGCTGGCCTTGTGAAATCAAGTTACATAGAGTTTGTAAGTACTTACTGCATGACAGTCATGTTAAACTGACATCATATTTTCAAGGTCAGCATTATTATGTTTGTGCAACTTCTCGGAGTCATACATTTTTGTGATATTTTTAACATCTGACTACAGCTCCTCCATCACAAGGTGCTCCCACTGTTTACCACACGGAAGCAGCAGCTGTGTTCTTCAGCCCCAGCTCCTTCCAGTGCCTCGAGCAGCCGCTTGCAACCCCAGGTATGTATTTTACTACTGATGTGTAGAACACTTTAACTTAAAAGTTTTGCTCCCTACTGATGGAGACACATATACAATGGAACGGAGGCAATTTAGGACAAAGTTATAACAAGATCATGCTGAATGAACTAAATGCTAAGTAATATTGACCCTGCTTATATCTTTCATGTCACTGTCAATATCTTTTCCCATCCCATTCAATAAAATGCAAAAACTTACCCACACAAGCATTGAGGAACAGCCAGTCAGTCTTTTTCATCCTGTTCTTAATCTGCTTTAGTTTTTTGAAGTCCACCTCAAGCTCCTCCTTGCTGCCCACAGCGCCCGCCAACTCAATCCTCTGGAAATCCATCTGCACGTCGGAGTCCCGCTTCGTGGTGGGAGGCGACCTTCTTTGGCTGTTGCTGCTGCTGCAGCTTCCCCTCCACCGAGCCCTGTCCTGCTCATTTATTATTGAAGAAGCCTCTTCAGTCTCTGCCAACTCTATCGCTTCAATATTATTAGGTCTGGGATGATCGCAAACAACACACTTTTTAGCCTTGGCCCAGTTTTCATATGTGCAAATAGAACAAGTCCAATGCTGGGTCCTTGTGTTCAGTTTATTTCTGTCATTGTATTCCTCGCAAGGATCAACAGAAAAAGCAACTGGTCTTGAGCCAGATCCTGAGGATTGAGGAGACTCTGTGGGACTCCTGGTCCTGCGCTGGGATAAGCACTGGGTACATCTGATTGCTCTTGGCCAGTTCAAATACGTGCACATGTGGCATGACCATTTATTTGCATTCTCCACGCTGTACGAAGACTTAACCCTTGGTCTTGCACTAGAGTCTGGGCATATCAAAGGACTACTTCCTCCTTCGGTGCTGGAAGGATCCCAATCTCGGCCAACATCACTGGAACCGCTTTTGAATGGATCTTCTGTGATAATAGTTCCACTAGGTCTCTGGGCGCGACACATGGTGCACTTGATTGCAGATGGCCAGTTTTCATACGTACAATATTCACAAGCCCACTTAATTCCACGTTCTGACATTGTGCACTTCTTGAAGTGAGTTATGTCAAGCAGGAAGCTATAAATAATTAGGACATGGTTATTAAAACAATAATGACATAATTCCACCTCTGAATATATGCCAACATAAAAGTTTGCTTTCATTTACAAAATACAAATTTTTCCAAAGATGCATGTAAGATTTCATAGTGAACTATCCTATTTTCTTTTTTTTAATTTCAGGCACTGGAGATAAATTCCCAAAGAAAAATCTTAGCTCTCTCAGGATTTAATGAGATTGTATTTCAGAATGCAAGAGAGAGGAGAAACTAGGAGTGTGCTGTGGGAGCGCGGGAGCCTAAAGCAGGGAAGCCACCAACAGAAACGTTTCATTTCAGACAGTAATCACCATCAAGGTAGAAAAGGAACCAACAGTTCGAAAACCCAAAGGGAGGGAAAGGAACACAAACCAAGGATCTTAAACACATAGCCATTCTCAAATCACGAACAACACAGATTAGTATGCTATCTAGGTGTAGCATCATAATGCTTGATTTACTAAAGAATTCAGAAGATCAAAGTCAATTCTCTTACTCTTGCTAAGGGAGAAAAACAGCGGGAAAATGCTAATTACCCACCGCTCTTAATAAGCACAGGTAAAGAGGAAAGATGTCGAGGAGCAATCCTTACAGTTAACCAAGGAACACTGAGACAGGGAAAGCTGCCTGACAGCCTACATACCCTCACAACCTAGTTCTGTCTGACACAATGAAAAGCGCAGATCACCCATACGTGAGACAGTGAAATCGACGGAATGTCGCCGAGATGACTACAAGCATATCACTCCAATATAATTTTGAATACTCGTACTCAAAATATTCAGTATTTGAAATACACTGAAAATTCAATTCATATTCAAAACATATTCACTATTACAGTTTCCTAGGATTCAACACTGGGCCTAAAACTACACTAAAACGAAGACTTTACTATTTAATGGTAACTAATTTATGAATGATGCAACTTAAAAGACAAATTGAATCATAACTTTTTTTTAATGGTTTGAATGTAGGCATTGGCCACTAAAGCCAGCCTTTCCGTTTTCTTAAATCCCTTCTCAACTAAATTAATGTCGCTCCACCTACTTTTAACCAGAAAAGTAACAGAAACCCTAGAGAGGGTAAGGGCGCTCTTCCAGACACTTTCTCCGGGTGTTTCCTGAACCTGGAGGCTCAATCTTCCACTTGACAAGTGGCCCCACTCGCCACGCCCTCACGCCCTGTGCAGTATGAACTGGTAAGAGGACAAACTCTCTACACGAAAGGCTACTATTTAATAGCTAAAATAAAAACCACTTACTAAGACTTTAGTTTTCACGCTATGACCTCCACCTTGCACAGGATTAGTTAGAATAAAAGTACGGGTTATAAGTCAGACCAAAGACAAGATTCAGTCTTCCTCGGGAGATGCTGCAAAACGGGCTAAGTGGTCTCTCTGACTGTGAATAGCTCTAATCCTGTAAAGACCAAAACTCAATTTCACTTGAAGCCTGCTACTTTATCCAAAATATTTTAAAAAGGCTTTATTTTAATCAATTCTCTATTTTACTCCTGCTCATTTCATTTAATAATGAACTACTATATTTAGAATTTTAATTTAACACTGCAATAAAAGTAGTTGGTTGGGCTGGTCAAATTAGACAATGGCCGAAACCGGTTTGGCTCAGTGGATGGAGTGTCGGCCTGCGGACTGAAAGGTCCCAGGTTCGATTCCAGTCAAGGGCATGTACCTGGGTTGCAGGCACTTCCCCAGTAGGAGATGTGCAGGAAGCAGCTGATCGATGTTTCTCTCTCATCGATGTTTCTGACTCTCTATCTCTCTCCCTTCCTCTCTGTAAAAAATCAATAAAAATATAAAAAAAAAAACTAGAAGGATATTCCAAACATGTTGAATTTCCATGTTCTGCTAAAATATTGCAAAGTAATTAATTGCGAATTATAATATTTATATAAAGTACTACTTAACTCTTACGCCAAAAATTCCAGTTATGTCCTCTTTTCTCCTCAGCATCTTTCTACATCACCGTCTTCCTCACAACAGTCGACTGAATAAATAACTGGTCTTGAGCGAGACCCTGAAGACTGTTGATACGCTGAAGCCTCTCTCTACAATCTGACCTCATTCCAGGGCTCCAATCGCTTCCCACATCCTACAGTAAACCTCTTATCTTCCTCTGACAACAAGCTCCTACCCTGACTTCCCCAGTCCCCACTGAGGACACCATCAATGCCCTTGCACCAGCACTAACGCAAAATCATCTTGAATTCTGCCTCTGTACGCCCCGCATGCGCTCTGTAGCAGTCTCTGTCCAGTTCTTTTCTTCCCCTCCCAACTGCATCACCCCTGCCTGCCTCAGCCAGGTCAGACTCCCTCCTCTAAGACCTCCTAAGCGCCTTCCCTTTCTAAATGCATCCAGGTCACGGCATCAGCATCAATCTCCCAAGAACAAGACTTCCTGAGCTCTCCCCTCCCCATGTGCCCACACAGAACACACATACCCCAGCCTCATGCACACACCCCCGCCCCGCCCCAAATAATACACACTTCAAGGCAGCAGTCGCCGACGGGTGGTCCGCGGGCCGAAAGGTTGGCGACCGCCGCTCTAGCACCAGCTGAGAAACACAAGTACGACCTAAGGCGCGGTTCAAGGCTCAGCTCTCTCGTGAAGTTTTCTTCAAGTCCGAGCAATCACACTTCAAGCGACATCTGACACTGACTGTATTTCCTCTTGGAGCTAGCTGAGTTCTGAACACAGTGTGTGCCCTGTATCATGCCCTCCCCTCAGTTTCAATCAGGCTGCCAAGCTTTCAAAACTCCTGGCTCAGGGCTTCTGGTATGGAATGTGAGCCGCTGAAGAGACTACACTGAGAGGCCTGAAAAAGGAGAGGAGGGGTTTGGCAACTCGGGCAAAAGAAAGGAATTCTAGGGACGGGACCCACTCCTGTGGCCGACCTCAGTAGACAGTGGCTGCCACTAACAACTACATGTCAAGCCACAGCACTCGTGAGATGGTTACCTATGCAAACCCTGGGGACAGATACATGAGATTTAATTCTGCTCATCTCTCTATATGCATGTAATTTTTCATAATGAAAAGTTTTTTAAACCAGGAAGGTAACAAATGCTGTTCTAGACTAAAAACTAAGGCTTAGGTTGCTAAGGCTGAAAAAGGCACAGGGATATTGTGACGATGCTACTCAGAAATGTTTGAGAAGCAACGTTAAAACATTTGGAAACAAGAATATAGCTTCTTTCACCAACTCACAGGTACAGTTCACAAAAGAGAGGAAATATATAAAAATATGAATCAAAGTTTCTTTCATCCTAAACTTGCACAGATGAATCACACTTCAGAAAACCTAAAACAGACTTAAACTGACGTAATAAAATCTGTCTTTGCAATGTCTCTCATAAACACAGATGCAAAAATCCTCAACAAGGTATCAGTAAATCTAACCCAACAATGTATAAAAAGAATTATATACCACAACCAAGTAGAGTTTATCCCAGATATGCAAGGCTCATTCAATGTTTAAAAATCAGTAATGTAATCCATCTTATCAGCAGGACACAAACCCCCCCCCCCCCCCAGAAAAAAACCCACACATAAACACGTGCAGAAAAGGCATTTGACAAAATCCAACACTCATTCATGAATTAAAAAAAAAAAAAAAATTCCTAGAGCTAACAGGTGTAGATTACAGCAAGTTTACAGGATACAAGGTTAATATACAGAAATTAATTACCTTCCTATATACCAGCAATGGAATATGAAATTAAAAACATTAACATTAGCATCCTCAAAATTTGAAACACTTAAGACTAACTCTAACAAAATATATACAAACTCCAAAACACTAATGAAAGAAATCAAAGAACTAAAGATACATTCCATGTTCATGGATAGGAAGACAATATTGTCAAAATCTCAGTTCTTCCCAAATTGATCAAAAGATTCAATGCAATCCCAATCAAAATCCCAGCAAGTTATTTATCAACAAACTAATTCTAAAGTTTATATAGAGAAGTGTAAGACTCAGAATAGCCAACAGAGTAAACAAAGAAAAAAATAAAGAGGACCGGCTACCCTGACATCAAGACTTAATATAAAGCTACTAGAGGCTCGGTGCATGAAATTCGTGCACGAGTAGGGTTCCTAGGCCTGGTTGGCAATCAGGGCCTTCCAGCTGCTGGCCAGGGCCTTCTTCCCTGGCTGCCGGCTGCCTACCAGAGCTTTCCTTCGTTCCGTCCCGCCCCCTGATGATCAGTGGACGTCATAGCGTGTGATCAAACTCCCAGTCTCCTGGTCAAACTCCCAAGGGGACACTTTGCATATTAGCCTTTTATATATATAGAAAGTAATCAAGACTGGGATACTGATAAAAGAACAAATAAGTCAATGGAATAGAACAGAGAGCCCAGAAACAGGCTCACACACATAGAGTCAACAGATCTTGGAAAGCAGTAAAGGCAATATGATGGAGAAAAGATAGTCTTTTCAAAAAGTGGTGCTAAATAACTACACATGCATTAAAAAAAAAAAAAAAAGACTCTAAACACAGACCTTACACCCTTCACAAAAAAAAAAATCAAGCATGGCCTGGCCAGCATGGCTCAGTGGTTGAACATCAACCTATGAACCAGGAAGTCATGGTCAGGACACATGCTCAGGCTGTGGGCTCCATCCCGGGTGGGGAGCGTGTGGGAGACGGCCAATCAATAATTCTCTCTCATCACTGATGTTTCTCTCTCTCTCTCTTCCTCTCCCTTCCTCTCTGAATATAAGAGTGTGTGTGTGTGTGTGTGTGTGTGCATATATATACATACATATATATTTATATATATATTAAGCACATACCTAAAGTAAATGCAGAACTATAAAATTCCTAGAAAAAAAAAAAAAAATCTAGATAACCTTGGCTATGGCAATGTCTTTTTAAATAAAGTACCAAAGGCACAACCAATGAAAGAAATAATTGATAGGCTGGATTGGTTAAAATTAAAAACTGCTTTGCAAAA